ATGCCAGCATCGCCGCGCAGCAAGTTTCGCGAAGTACTTGAAGTTCAATTGCGTATCAAAATGATGTCGCTGATCACTCAGTTGCTAGTTGTCGCAGCGTGTGTTGTGCCATGTCCATGATGCACCCAGTTTTCACTTTGACTTGCTTTTCCTTCTTAGTGCATGTTCTTGTTCACGTAAAATGCGACCTCTCACCAATGTATTAAAACACTTTGAATTTATACTTTGCATGATTATATTTGGTCAACGCGAAACATTATTTTTTCTAGACCATTTTTATCAACGCAGGGGTATTTTTCCCAGACAAGATGGGCCTCGTAATATCTGCCAAAAGATCTTTTGGTCCACATTTTTGTTTTAAAAAAATCAAATCCTCCATGAGATCGCCCAGGGCGGGGTATCAGCCGAATCCGGTAAATAATAAAAGTCCCATAATTTTAGTTGAAATTAGATGAATTCACCGAGATTAAAAGTAAATGTTAGACAGAGTATCATCAAGATGGCACCTGTAATTTAATGTGTAATTTTATACCGTCATAGTTTACTTCATTTTCAAAATTCAGGTTTTAGTATTAGGACTTAGGACACCTATAATACATCCAAAATGGCTGATATTCAATCACATTTACTCAAATCAAAAATAAAATTGATGGGATTCATAGATTGTCTTTGTACCAATTAAGTTAGAAAGACATTCAATGCCACCTGACAACTGGCTCTGGATGGATGAATGATATCTATGGATAGACAGGTATGAAACCTGAATATTATCTTGTCCCACCTGAACAAGAACTAGAAATAATTGCCATATGTGAGGTAATTGGGGCATGTCATGAGGCATGAACAAAGATGGAGGTCAAAATAGGTGAATAGGTTACCTTTTTGTAAGAGTTCAGCATGCTTTTTCTTCTGAGCAGGTCCATTATCAAGTACAATCTATATGAAAACAGTACAATATTATAACTAATATATTTCATACACAATGAACATCCAATAATGTACTTAAAATATTGAAATTCTTGTTTATTCGAGTATTAATTGTCATAGCAACATAAGATTGGAGTTTCACCATCAGTGTTTTATTGGCACTTACTGAATAGTATGGTCCCATAGCCCTTACAGCATGTCCAGTTAGCGTAGCAATAGTATAAATGTGTGGATTTACTTCACCCAAAGCCTGTAGAAAAACAGTACAATTATTACACTAAATCATTTACATAATTATTCATTTTCTGTGTTTTACTAAATAGGAAATAACTAAATATAAAAGTATATTTATATGTTAATAAAATATATTAACTCTATCACTAGTGCATATAAATAAGAGGTGTGTCAATGATTGTAATATGTCATTGTTATAATGAACCAATACACAATAAATGCAATGTTGGGTGTGTGAGTGCTTCTAATAAAGCTAGTAAAACACATGTAGATTTCTATACTGAACACTGGCCACAGTGAATTAACTCCATAAACATGAAGAATTTTTTGATATTTCACAAGTTCATTTTGTGGCAATTTCCAACAGTGATCTGTATGGCATTGTATTGCACATTGAAAATTACTAGTCAGATTTTAAGTTCATGCTCAGAATATTATTCAAAAGAAAATCCAAATGGCGGCAGAGTAATTCATGAAGCAAAGGGCAGGGATTCTTTTTTTTACAAATCGAATGACAAAACTTGGATCATTTTTAAAACCAAATATTGGCCAATGGATTGGACCATTTTTAGTGCATGTTTGTGGGGACTTAAAATTGTTACTTGTTTGTATTCATAATGTGTGCTTGCATATATATCTATGACTGGATATATCATGTTCAATCTTCACACATCAATGGGATACATGTGTATTTATTGTTTTATGATCAGATTCAAGATGGCCAAATAGTAACAATTTTAGCTTAAATTCAATTTTAAATTCAAGATAGTAAGCATTTCTGTTCTGTCATTCTAAAACTAGATCTTGGTCATGTAGGAATGGTTTCATTGAAACTTAGTACATACATTGAGCATTTAAAATGGTGGCCATTTTGTTTTAAGTTGTTCTCGAGCCATATCTCATGCATTCCTTGACAATCAAACTTTTCACAACATGCATAATGTAATAAACATGCACTTGTTTGACAATCCAAACCAAGATGGCCGAATGACAGCCCAGTACTAAAAAGTTATTAAAATCAAGCATTTCTGCCATTCTAGAACCAGATTTTTGTCGTGTATGGCTGTGGATTTTACGATTGTATGATGTGGACTGTGTCATGTCTATTAATTCTTACCAAATCTTTCATTTTACAGAGAGGATCAGCCATAGCCATTCGTCCTTCAGCGTCAGTATTACCAATTCGTACACGCACACCAGCACGTGATGTCAGGATCTCATCAGACACATAAGCATCTAAAAATACACATCAAGTATATATATTTTATACAATTTATTGATGAGAGTAGCTCATACAGGTTATATAACAGCTGCTGTCCACAAATGACCAAAACAAAAAACTATTTTTATTTATTTAACGTTTTAACCACATCTTTACTTTTTTTGTAATTGCAACATTCTAATTTGCATTATTATAATTGTATACACAAGTAATATGCACATTGGAAATTTGAACTAATAGTATTTCTCAAAAGTTATAGATGAAACCCATTTTTACAATAGTGGCTATGATCTCAAACCACAATCCTTTGCTGAATCAAGATAGCAGACCAGATAATACTCATAAAAAGTTGAATATCCAGGGAATGAAAAGTGATATGAAAATAAACTGTTAATTGTTTTCTCCTACATTTGTGGAGCTTTTTTTTTTAGAAAATAGAGTGGAATCATATACGTGTAGAAATTTGAAACTGACCAGCTCCAACACTGTTCCTAACCATACTCATCGCTCCAATAACTTTGATGTTTTTAGGTTTCAGTGATGACAACACTTGGAAGAATCCGGCCACGGCAGCTGCACCACACTTATCTCTGAATAAAAATGTAGTAAATAACAAACTAAGTAACTAGGCAAAAATAAACTTCCAATATGTCTGGTGTGTATTTATAGACAAGTAAAATTATCAAAATGTTTATGTAAATGTTTTTATTTTTTGGATGGTAATATATTCAGATGAAGATTTGTGGTTGCTGTCATGGAAACACCAGTATATTTTGAATATCTAGCCATCTGATTGGCTGAAACAGGGTCTTCTATTTGCCCCAAAACTAAATAAACTGGTTTAAATATCTAACTGAATCCAAATCACACGTACGACTGTGAGCATTGTTGATAGTGATTTGAGGTATATGATAAACTGATCAAAACAGGGAAACCTGCTAGACTACTGAAAAAAACATTTTACCACAGTACAAAACTGACAGTTCTTTTTTAATGTAATCTTTCAAAAAAAATGTACTATATTTCCATAATCTTTCCCTAATATTGCACAAAATGTTGGCAGCAAATAATGTCAAAAAAATACATCGTATCATTATACAGCTAGCAATGAATAGGATATATATATAAGCTGTATCTTCATTTGTTTCAAAATGCATCTGTACTTATTTGAACATTCAGACTTTCATTTATTTGAGGTAGTTTTACTACATCAATATTAACACTTCCAAGATTGTTAACATCATATTCAAACAATAGAGCTATAGCATGTGACCTAACGCAAACATTTGCATTGTGGGATATGTTTTTCATTGCTATTAATCATTTAATTATTACAAGATGGAGAAAGTTGTATAATAATAAAACATCAGTCGATCTGATTGCTGTAATGCCAGAGTGCAACAGTTTGGTATTTGTTCATCACTTTACATTGTATAGATTACAAATAAATGTTACCTGTGCATTCCTGCCATTGTCCCACCATGTTTAATATCAGCACCACCAGTGTCATAGGTCACACCCTGTCATCAATTGAACACTTTGTTTAATATGTCTATATTATCAGTTAATTTTACAAATTCTTGTAAAAATGCTGTTTGTATCAGGCATAAAGTTCTTCTACTTTGTATAAATTCTTACACAAAATGTAAAATGTTTTGATAAATGTTAATTTATGTCAGGGTCCTACAAACAGTAACCATAGCGCATGATGTTGTCCGTATAATGCATAAAATCAACAAATCTCCTAGAAACAAAAATTAAACTGTAATTTTCCATTGACCACAGGTTTTGACATTTTTGAAGAAATATGGAACAAATATATTCAGGTTAATTTTGTGAAAGTGACAAAAAATGTTGAAGGTCAAATAAAATACTAAAATGCATTAAACTACACCAGTGTATCAAGCTATACACAGAGTCATATAGACATACCTTTCCAACCAGTAATAGTGTATTCTCAATATTTCCCTCTCCTTTATACTCCAGTTCCAATATCCTACCTCGATGTCTGTCTATATGACTTGCACATCTATCAACAGCAGCATGTAATGGGTAGTCTTTTGCTAAAGTTTCCGGGTCTGAGATCACTTCAACCTAAAAATTACACAGTTTTGTTTACAGTAATATAGAAGTATGGATCCAGAAGCTGATGCTTGATTATGATGATTTTTTAAGATCAAAATGATTGACATCTTGTATCTGATCATCAAACAATTAAGTACTTGTCAATATTGAGAAACACTGCTCCGGAATAGCATTAATTAAAACAAAATGGCCACCGGTCAGCCATCTACATATCTATAACATGATGTATAACAAATACATAACATTTGAACATAATCAGTCAAAGCATGTCAGAGAAGCACATTCATAAATACAAAATGGCCGCCAGTTAGCAATTATGAATCCAATCTGAAAAAAAAAAATGACTTGCATCAGGAACCCATAATGTTTAATGTACATGTATGTATCAAGTTTGAACACAATCCATCCATAAATGCCAAGATCTCATTCTGGAATGCCAGAAATGCTTCATTTTTAATGAATTTTAGCACAAAAATGGCTTCCATTTGGCCATTTTGAATCAGATAGTCAAACCAATATATCTATGTCTAATAATGATGTATAATGATGAATATATAAAATTTTAACATAATCAGTCAAAGCATGGCAGAGATTAGATTAGCAAAGTCAGGGACTTCTTTTTTGTTTTACAAAAAGAAATAATTAATTGTTCTGTTATTCGTTTTAGCGTGATTGCGAAAACTAACCTGACCACTAAAGAAATCCTAACTGGACGCATCTGCAGGCATTTGACTGCTATTAATTATTTATGATATCATTGATTATTCATGAGTGGGGGTGTGAAAGTAAACGTGACCTTTTAAAGGTTGATTCGATTTGATTGCAGAGATGGATACTTTAACTTGTTTAAGTGCAAAGGCGATACTTTCATCCATGTTTACTGAAAACAAGTCGATTTAAATGTCCAATGTATATAAGTAGTCTTTCAAAATCACCGGGACCTCAGAAGGGAAAGGTCACGAACATTAACATAGATAAGAGATGACGTATACAGCTGCACCCTGATTAGTTGTCAATGCCAGTCAACATCTTTTAATTAGCATAATCACCGGAGTGATTCCACTCCGGTTTTCACTCCAACGCAGGAGGTCACCTGCAGATGCATCCAGTCGGGATTTCTTTTGCAGTCAAGCTAGTTTTCGCGGTCATGTTAAAAAAGCTAAGTTGACAATTAATTATATATTATATTTTTATTGTAAAACAAAAAAGAAGTTCCGACTTTGCCATGCAGTCTAGGCAGAGATATGGCACTAGAACAAGTCGACCATTTTAAATCCGATCTGAAAAATAAAATGATGTGTATCAAGGTCCCTTGTATGACCAACGTATGTACCAAGTTCGAACAAAATCCAACCATAAATGCTTGATTTTTTTAGAACAAAAATGGCCACCATTCGGCTATCTTGAATCAGATCATAAAACAAATTGATGTGCATATGTATGATATTATGTATGATGTATGTGTGAAGTTTGAATGTGTTTCGTCCAGGCAAGTCTAAGATACAGGTCTGGACGCACGGACACACAAAGGTCTAGGTAGTGTTTACAGATGCATCATAGCCATCTGTCTAGGTTATGTTTACATTTGAATAGCTATCTGTCTATTCAACCACATTATTTCAATTAAAAAACAGTGATAAGAAAGTCAACTTACATTAACTGGAGAATTCTTGAAAAGTGCTTTCACATATTCTTCCACTTTAGGAGGTGCCATACGCTCAGGGTCTGATCCACCAATATCACGGGCAACCAATCTAGAAATCATTAAAAATACTCTCAACTAATTAATTGTCAGAAACCACGGCGACCAGTGCCATCAGTGCTGGGGGTCAAATTTAAACTACATTTTACCAATAGAAATTAATAATAAACATCAAGAAGAACCATTTTTCATTTCAAAAGATGACTTACAAAACAAAAACAATTACACGAAAGTCAAAGGTTCAGAACCACTGTGAACAATGTTTGCTTTCAAGTTTGAATCAAAATACAGACCCTTCATCACCGGGTCTGAACATGGATATTGTTTGAGATGGGAATTAGTCCAAATGAACCAAAACATATTTTTAGAAGTACATATATTATGTTTTTAGGTCATATATGGTAATGACTAATCATGCATCATGTCAACAATTCTCAAATATGATGTGATATGAAAAAGGATCTTGAGATTGTTTTATATATTTATGTCAATCTTAAAAGTGTGACAACCCTTACATTACACCATAATGAAGGATTGCTCAGAAAGTTCCCCTAGAATACTGGTATATGGACAATGAGGCCCCTTGGGCTGCTGAATTTTCTTTTGATATTCAGATTGAAGAAATATTAGGCATATAAAAATCAATCACATAATTTAATGTAAAACACAAGATATTTGAAAATAGATTGAGTCTGAATTTATAAATTAAACCATGTTTTCAAACATTTTTGAACATCATTTATTGAGTCATTATTGAAAGCAACATGTTTTATGATGTAAACCTATTATAAATACCTTCCACTTTCTACAGCTACACACAATTTTGTAATTCTGTCATTTTCTTCCTTTGTTTCTGACCAGACTCCAAGTCTATCAGCTTTGCTGGATTTCTCTTGACTTGCCTCACGAACTTCCAATGGCTGAAACAAAATCAATGTTACATACATTAATAAATAAATATTTCAAATTATTTGTGATTTAATGTTCAGCTAAAATTCAAATTTTATTGCATTTACAGCAAGTCTCAGAAGTATTGGGGCAGCCATTTTGCAAACTCGCTAGCAAATTGGCTAATTGCTTTGGTTTTGACTATCAGACTAAACAGTTGGCTTTCGAGTCTCACTGGCGCTGACTCGTGGCCGTGTTCACTCTGTGTGAGTCTAAGTTGTATTAGGGGACATAGAATGTATTTACATAGCCTGGTACATGTAGGTGTATGTCTAGATTCCCCTGAATGATTTACTTTGTTACGAGGCGTCATAATGTAAAGTAGTTCCCCGGGTAAACCTGAGAATGGCCAGTCAGCTGGCGTAAAGCGATAATATGATAAATGCAATTAATCCGCCGATATTTACTATATGGGGTAGCCATCTTGAACAGTGCTTGAAACTATTAAAATAAAGAGACACGTTGATAAACAGTTTCTTATAAATCAGGAAGAAAATGATAAACTTTCACATTTAAATGATCTGTCGGGGTAACACTAGCCAACCATTAAAAAAATCGACCTCATTACACATAGAACTCTTTCCCTGGTATATTTGAAAGCAAAATCGTCATCCAACTGTGGCTGATTAGCTCCTAAAGTATGACGACCATCCCCTGCTGTTATATAGATTCGCCCAGAGTGGGCATGACCACAAGACGGCGCCAGCGAGACTCGAAAGCCAACTGTTTAGTCAAAACCCAAGCAGTTAGCCAATTCGCTAGCAAGTATGCAAATTGGCTGCCCCAATACTTCTGAGACTTGCTGTAGAAAATGAACTTGCTTGTGTCACCTTCCACCAATTTTTTCTCAAAACTTTTGATCAAGGTCTTCTGTAGGGGTATTTGGTCGAAAATTAACAAAGAAATTAAAATTAAGATAAAAATAGGATTGAGAGTGAAGTTCATTTGATGTTGTTGTATTTTAACATTGTTTACTCCAGTTTGACAGTTATATACAATGTCTACTTGAATTATATGTCAATCAAAATTTGAAATCTTCAAAAAACAAATATAAACAGTTTCAAAATTGAATATTGAACTAAGGAAATGTTCAAATATTAGCACCAAATGTGTGGTTTCTTTTAAACCATTTATTTTCACTGACATTTAATTTCACTATTTGGATGTTTTGAACATATTCACTGGGTTTTAATTTCATGAATTTGTCAAGAAAACAATGAGTTTTATTGTTATTTTACTTGTTCACATAGATTTAATTTAGAGAATTTTATCTATCAGTGAAGATAGCGAAATTAAAATCCAGTGAATAATTAATGCATTTACAGTAGATACCATTATATTACTCATGTGTACGTATTGATTTTAATCACTTATATTATGAGGATACCTCAATACATGTACAAAAACTGTACAGCGGGATTATCGACCGACGCGCAATAGAGGTCGATGCGACGTCGTACTGTCTGAGTGCATACTTTGAGGTATCTTCGTAATAACCTTATTATTATACATCTTTTCCTTCCAAGGATACATCATGGGAATGCCGAAATCCAAAAAGTTTAAAACAGAATCAGCTACTTCTTTGTGTGGAGTCTTGTCAAACCCTGGTGGCAGCCATGTTTGTTTTTATTATTAGAGGATGCTTACAAGCGTAATCATTCTATATTTGAAATTCACATTACCTTATGACAGATGTATAATAATAGACTTTATTTTCAGACTTTATAATTCTGTTGTGAAATTCCAGCATTATTTAAATATAGGTTTCTTTTCATGTTTTAATACAGTTGATTTAAAACTAGGTGATTTGAAATAAGATAATTTGAAACCAGCTGATTTAAAACCATGCGACTTACCAGACAAGAAAAGTTGAACAATGTTTAGTAAATGTAACTAGTACTTACTACATAAAGATTATGGAGTGTGGCCAAGGCGGACACCAATGGAGCTTCTTTAAAAGATTTATTTACTGGACATACAAGTAATGGTGATCTGCATCC